TTCCCTTGGCAGGGGTTTTCGGATTACAAATCATCCCAGTAATGCAATTTTGTGTGCGGCAACTACCACCATTTTTTAAAAGGAATAAAACTAATAGGACAGAATAGATCATAGTACGTTGCCCGAAGTATAAATGTTGTTTCATCTGGCTTTTATCTCGATTACATTGGAGATAGGTGTGTTGGGTCGCATGGTGATATTTATTTCCTCTGTGCATCTCCCCTTCTGTCACTGCAGTAGAAAGTAGGTCCGGCCACTCTTTTGCTCCATTGCTCAGCTTTTGCACACGTCCCATTGCGCTCTCTGAACTCCATCTGACGTTATGCTCAGCCCTCTAGTCCAGCCCACAGCTTTGCCTCTGGCCATTTGGGCTGCCTACTCCACTTTCCTGGGGGACCTTCTTTCCATCTCTTTCCCAGCAAACTCCGATCTGTCTGCCCCAATCTCCCTAAGAATGGGTCAGGTGCCTCCGAGGATACGAGTCACTAGCTCCCAATAAGTTTTTGCCATCTCTACATTGAGTGGCCTGGCATGAATAGCTTCAATCAGCAGCTAAAATGGCCACAGTGGATGTAAATACATCACAGACATACCCAATTCTGCAAATCAGTGCCTTCCTGTCCCTTGAGCATCTTGTACATCCAGCCCCCAAGCCCCATGGGTGACATCTGGCTCCCCTCAGTTCCCAATCACCTGGGGCTGGGTCTCCTTCTTATGAGCCCCACAACCAGCCCAGCATTGGGTCAGATTGGAGATGCTTCATAAATATTTTTGAATGGATGTAAGCAGCACACTGCAGAGTTGCTGTATCGCAACTCCAACCCCCAGGTTAACAACCCACGGCCTGCTAATGGCCACCCAGCTGTGGGCTGCCATGGGTCTTTTTCGTGCCAAGCACCCACCTCGCCCCAGAGCAGGTTTGAGCAGATGCTTTTCTGTTGACTTGAGGCCCATGGAGAGAAGATTTCTTGATGGATGCCCGACTTCATAGTTCAGACTTAGACCTAAGTGTGTTTCAGACTTTTATCCGGCTTGATTCTTACTTCCTATAGCTGCGAGAGCAGCTCTACACGCTAGGAAGTGCAGACGGCTCTGTTTGCTTTTCTTCCTCGGTCCTAAGGTTAGAAAGGGCTGCGGGGGGAGGCCAGGGCCCTGGCCTGCTTAGCTCAGGCAGGTCTGCGTGGTGCCTGTGGTACCTCCAGATCACGGGGTGACATGGAACCAAACCTCAGTGGCTCCCCCAGAGCATCCTCCCCAGCCCAGGTCCCAGAGATCAGACTGCCTGGTGTTGGCCAAAGACTTGCCATAACGGGATGCTGTTCCAGGAAAACCTCGTGCCAGAACAGAAGGTGGTGGTAACAGACGGAAAGGCCAAGCCTGAGCTCGGGAATACTCGGGCCTCCCTTCCTCCTGTGAAGTAGGCATTCTTGTTATGCCCATTTTACTGAGCCACCAAAAGGCGACATAATTTGCCCAAGGTGGGATTCATTCAGCTCTTGCTTTTAATCAGTACTTTTTTTTTTCCTATTTGGTTAACAGCAGGTCCAGCACCCCCTGGCTGAGGTCATAGGGTGTCATGGAAACAAAACACGCCAATGACTCCAGCAGCATGCATCTCTAAATGGGCCTACAGCTGCAGCCCGCCTCCCCACTGAGCCCGGCCGAGCTCACCTACGGTGGTGAGAATTAAGCTGGCGGTGCCTGGGCAGCGGTCAGAGCTCCGCAGTTGCTGCGTTGTTACCTTAAGTGGAAACAGTGTTCGGAAAGGCATGGCTACGAGGCAGAGAAGTAAAGAGTCAGTGGGAAAGGGGAGAAGCAGTGAACTAAGGCAGGGCACAGAGCTTCGTCACAGGGTCTGTGTGTTCTCGTGACAGTGGCTGCAGGCACTAGACCATGGCGGTGCCGTGAAAGTGTGTTCACAGGAGCAGGTGGTGGCTGGACGCACCTGTGGGCCGTACCCCTGGCTGCACAGCCCTGAACTAGACCATTTCACCGGTCGGTCAGTCCCACAAAGTCAGGAGCAGCCTTATCTGTCGGGTTGTGGGAAGACAGCTTTCAGTCCCCCCATTTCTCCCTCACTGGCACAGGGAGCGAGGGCTCAGAACTCCTGCCAGGCTGGAGCGCACCCTGCTCAGCTCCTCCCTCTAACCTCTGCCAGCTGGTGGGCAGCAGCCGGCCCTGCCCTGCCGGGGGAGCTGGGGATTTCCAAAGCCAAAGCCACCAGGAGGTGACGACTAGGAGTAGGCTGGGTCCACCAGCTTGCAGGCTGGACCCCTTCCTGGGTGCAGAACTGCGCTTGTCCAAGGCCGGTCAGGCCTCAGGATGGATCCTGACTCAAGGGCTACCCTCAGCTTTCTCCCCCTACCTCACTTGCCTTCTTGGAGAATTGGTAACAATAATAGAAATGCATCCAAAGCAACAAAGTTTTTGTTTGGCTTTGCATATTTATTTGTTTTTCTTTCCTGTCTCCTTCCCTTAGCCTGGGAACATCTCTAAGGAGCCTTTTAGTACGTGCTCCTCTGACTCTGTGGCCAGCCCTGCTCCGTGTTCACAGGGAAGCCCTCCCAGGATCAGCCATAATTAGAAGCAATTAAATTAGAAACCCTCATGCTGTTCCTGGCAGTCCTTCAAGCGGCAGCTTGCCTTGGGGAGCCTCGGGCCCCACTCAGTGGAAACGCAGCTCTGCTCCCCGCTGTCCTGAAGGAAAGGCCAGGACATCAGTGAGATGCTGCTTCCTAAGATCCCTCTTGGCCGTTGCTTGTACTTTACCCTTCCCATCCTACCTGCCCCAGCTTGCTCCCTGCTAGAAGGAAAGCACCCAGGATTTCACCACGGGGTGTCTGGGTGCTCTAACCTCACCTTCATCCATTTGGGGTCTTTCTAAGGTAAATGTGGTGCTGAATTGCAGACAGTGTGCTGGAGAGTGCAAAAAGGCAGCTTTTTTTATCTCTTCAAGAGATTCCTGAAACCTCGCCCTTCCTCAGAGGCCACCTGATGTCATTCACCAGGTGAGAGATGCGGGAGTCCGAGGTACCAGTGCCAGCAGGGAGAGGTCCTGGGGAAGGCCCAGACCCCCCCACCCCCAGGCTTCTCCTGGACCATCCTCAGAACAGAGATGCGCTTTTTCCTGATCAGAGATCACAATGGGCTCCTCCAAATCCTTCTGATGATAGAAACTGTGTACAAGGGAATGTTCCCCAGACCCTCCCTCAGTCCTTAGTCTCCCCACAACTCTACTCCTTGTCAAAAAAAATTCGTCGAGAATGCAGTGATGTCACTCGGACCTGCCTCTGTGCAGACGGAACCCTTTGCAGACACAAACGTGGCCTTCTCTGCGGCTTCCTCCTGTATGGGCCCTGCACCGTGTTCCACGGGAGTCCTCGCTCATTGTACTGACAAATAAGCGGGATAGCTAAAGCTCGATGTTACCCAAGCTCTTCCTATGGGAAGGTGTGTGCTCGCTGCTCCCCGCAGGAGGCAGGACCAAGGGGCTGGGGTGGGGTGCACAGGCCTCCTGGAGCTGGGGCAGCGAGGGCCACAGGCTCCCCGGAAGGCGGGCAGGAGCTGAGGCAGATGGCTCAAAGCGCTTCAGGTCTGTCCCTCGCTGGCCTCTCCTACATGTTGATGTGTTAGGTGCATTCTCCCCACCCACACACTCCCTGCGCAGGTGCCGTGCCCTGGGGAGGGGCAGATTAGAAAGAAGACCAGTCTACGCACTCAAGCAGTTTACTTGTCCTCAGCACCACCACCCCCACCCAGCTGCCCACTAACTGGCCCTTGGCTTTCCCCGTCCTGGACTTTCCCCAACTCCTGCCTTGCACAGCCCTCCTTCCTTCTCAAACTTAACTTCCTATTTCTAATAAATAATCTTTTGGCTGCTTTTCTCCTTAATGCCTTCAGGATATTGTATTATAAAGACAAAGTTCAGGTCTTTTCTCCTAAGGGCGGGGGGAAGAAAGGAAAAACAGAATGGCTTTCCCATTTATCATTTCCTGCTTTGCTTTCCTACATTGTCATTTGGGGGTGGTATTTGGGAATTATGGGTTTCTATGATCAAATGTCTCACTGAGAACACAAGGATTTACATGGTCTGAGTCAGTGGTTGATTCTGGAGGTTCCTCACATAATTCAACACGCTGTTTTGTCACTAATTCATTCACTCTGTCAAAGCAAGATAACAGTGACTCAGCATGTGGCAACTGGGGAATTTGGGTTCCCACATGAGCACATTGTCTCGCTTTGTACAGCAGGCTCACCAGTAAAAGTGCTTTGGTTGGAAATGCAGGTCTCCCATTCTGAAAGTGGAAAATAACACCTCCTTCAAAGCATCATTGTAGTAGTTGGGGGAAAGCACCTGAGTGCCTGAGCCGTAGCCGTCCTCTGTCCATTAGCTGTGTGACCTTAGGCAAGTCACTAACCTCTCTGGGCTTCAGCTGTCTCAACTGTAAAGTTACATGGACTGATACATTCTCTCAATCACTTTGACAGGTGACCCATTCTTCACAGAGAGAGGGCCGAACCTTACAGAGGGGCTGGGACGGCAGGACATGGGGGGGGAGGGGAGGGTTGCATTCTGATTCTTGGCGCCATCTCAGATCACCCCTGCAGCCAGAGGATCACACTAGCCTGGAGCACACACACCAGGGTTCTTCAGACTCTCCCAGCAAGTCCAACAATTGGTCATTGCCCGGCTTCAACTGTGGCCTGCAGCGTGCTCTGGTCCCTCCTCGCTGGAGCTCTTTCCCATGGATGGGGCAATGCTGGGAGGACGGGCAATGTACAGTCAGTCCAAGAGGCCTGGGGCTCAGCTTAAATCTGCCTTTTCTTTTAGGGCATATCCATTCCTCACTCTGTTTGCTGGGAGGTCCCTTGGACCCAGTGGGATACAATGAAGGCAACTGGAGTCAGGGTCTGGGCCTGGGCCTGGGCCATGGCCAGTCAGTCCTGGAGCAGCCTCAGGGCCCTGCAGGCCGCTGCTGCTGATGAAGTGTGTCTTTCAGGTGAACCTGTGGGAGAGGATGGCCCCTGCGGGAGACTACAGACAGATGCCCTGGCTCCCCGTCCTGGTGGTAAGTGGGTCAGAGCACCTGCCTGCACTACACCCTCGCCTGAGAGTGACCATGGCAGCCCTGGTGGAGATTCCAGTGGGGGCCCCCATCCAAGCTGTTTCCTGCACGAGCCATACTTCCTTGGGCAGGCTCCTTGGCCTCTTAAGCCTCAGTTTACATGGCCGTAAAATGGGAACAATAATAGCACCGTCTTCACTGAGTTCTTCCAAGAATACAGAAAGGTAATGCCTGCAACGCAGTGAACAGCGCCCAGGGTTTAAGCTAGACTTCCCTGGTTGGTGGATCCCTTTATAGGGTTTCATGGATAGAAATGTCCTTATTTAAATTGTGATATATACAACCCAAGCCTGTGTGACAAGCCTCACCTGTGGGCCACACAACTGAGAAAGCTCCAAGCCTTCACCACGGGGCCCCTCCTCAGGGGAGAAGAGGCTGCATGTGGCTGAAAGACCTGCTGTTCTAGAGGCTCGGGGAAGAAGCTGCCTCATTCATGGCTTTGGAAAGAAAGGAAGAAAGATTTCATGGGTGAAGAGAGTTTGGATCAGGCCTCGAGGGTGGGATGGGTCGAGGAGAGGGGAGGCAGGAGTGAGGCCAGACTGTGGAAGTGGCTGCCCTGCCAGTTTATCAGCTAACGTTCCTGGAGCTCGGGCACCGAAGGTGCAGTAAGCGACCGAGTGGCTCTCACCATTAGTCCTTCCTCACCCAGCCTGGGCACTGACCCTGAGTAACTGTGTGTGTCTTCAAGGAGGTATGGAAGCCCAGCGACCCCTTTCTTGTGGCAGGTGTCTCTGATGTGCGGGGCCAGAGCAGAATACAACAACTGCGGCGAGAATGAATACTACAACCAGACCACAGGGCTGTGCCATGAGTGTCCCCAGTGTGGGCCGGGGGAGGAGCCGTACCTGGTAAGGCCCCCGCCCGGCCGCCAGACCACAGCGCCCCCAGCCTTCACGGGGTGTCGTCACCATACCTTGTGCTGCTCTCCATGTGGTCCTCAAGCTAAATCAGTGCCCAGGGTCCCCAGTGCACCCATGTGCCAATGGGCCTCATGTGCCCAGTGCCCCTGGTGTGCCCAAGGTGCCTGGCATGCCCAAAGATTATAGGTTTGGTCATGGCAGGTGTGACCCTGCACTCACCTGTGTCCTCTGTCCCTTCCTCGGCCAGTCCTGTGGCTATGGCACCAAGGACGAAGACTACGGCTGCATCCCTTGCCCAGCAGAGAAGTTTTCCAAAGGAGGCTACCAGATATGCAGGCGCCACAAAGACTGCGAGGGCTTCTTCAGGGCCACCGTGCTGATGCCAGGGGACATGGAGAATGACGCCGAGTGTGGGCCTTGTCTCCCTGGGTAAGCATGGGGTGCTGCCAGACTGCTCCCGGGACCCATTCTGCAGAAATTCCCACATGTCTCTTTGGTGGGGACCCCTGGGAGCATGAGCACCGCAGGCCTGCAGTGTAACTTCCCTCCTACTGTTTGTCCCCTCTACGAGGGGCAGCTTGGCAGAGAGGAGGGCACCTGTTGGCAGGAGGACACCTGGCAGCTAGGATGGTGAGTCCTGCCACCTTTCACAAACAGGCAGCCCACCCAGGCTCAGCTTGTGTCCTTTAAGCCAACGTCAGTCATAATAATATCTTCCGACTACTCAAATCAAACAAACTTGTTGACTACTTTTGAGATAACACAGGTGGAATGATTCAGAGAGGAAAACTAAAATTCCATGCAAAAGTATTATTTTTAGTATTCTGGAAAAAAATTGAGGATAAAAGCCACTGGTCGGGGTCTTTGAGTCATATGGTGCCTATAATTCCACCACAGTTCTGTTATGTGTCAAACGTCTTCCCAAAAGAGCAAAGTGCAGATGCAATGAGCCTGAAAGACAGAAGACTAAAAAGTCTCCCTCACACAGGCACGTCCTGCTCCCGGTGAGGAAGGCCCCCCGGGCGCCAGCAGACCGAGCTCCCCAGCCGCTGCTGCCTCCCTCTGGTGGCCACGTAGCAGCACGCTTGCAGGCGCTGCCCAGAAACCGAAGGCGGGCGAAGGCCAGGGCGTGCTAGAGGGACGGTGGAGGCGCAGAGGTGGTGGTGCTGGTGATGGTGGAGGTGGTGATGGTGGAGG